TCGGCAGGTATACGCCTCTACGCAACGCATACGTCTTTATACGTATATATATATGCCTTATACGGTGAGAAAAAAAATTTAGCAGGCCCCCGCTTATATATACATGCATATCTATCTATTATATAGACTTTTACATCTGCCGCGGCGCGGCGGCGCGTTACACGACGTATTACAACGGAATCTTTTCCTCCTCGGTCGGAGCCGGTGTATGCCATTAAGCGAAAATTGCGATAAACGAAAGCTGGATTGATTATTACCGCGCGCTATAATGCGCCACGTGCTCGTATCGGAAAATGACGGTGATGATGATTAACGACCCTGTGTCGATCGTAACGGTGAAATAAATACGTCATTTTGTGTATGTATTTCCTCGTGTGAAAAATATGGGCTTCTAAAAATATATCTGCAATTATACTCTACATGAGATATAACTCTCTGTATTGATTGATATCGATATACGACATCGCGATATATCGGACACGCATAAATCATATATAATAGCAAATCGCTTTTATACCTATGCCCTTTTAAAATCGGATTAAAATATCTTCTCACACGTATGGAATATTTCTGTATTTCTCATTGCATATTTTTTAAAAATTTCTATATATTTTTTAAATATTTTATATATTTTTATATATATATTTTATGTAATATTATTTTATATTATATTTATATTATATTTATAATATATTTTATATTTTATATTATATTTATTATACGTATGTATATATACTATACTTTTAAAATTGGATTAAAATATCTTCTCACATATGGAATATTTCTGTATTTTATTGCATATTTTTTAAAATTTCTATATATATTTTTTCAATATTTTATATATTTTTATATATATTTTATATAATATTATATTGATTATATGTATATATACTATATTTTGATACAATTTTGATATATATATTTTTGTTTTTAATATTATATATATATATATATATATATATATTTTTTTTTTCTCAGATAAAAATAATTTAAATAAAAAATCTATATTCTAAAATTTAATATAATAATTTAAGTAAAAGATCTATATTGCGCCTAGATAAAAGAACCATTTGCTTTTTTCTTCTTTGAAATTATAAATTTCCTTTTTCATACTTGAATTAGATTATTAATTTGCGACATTAATACAAGCGCGCGAATTCCATTCGTCGAAAACAAAACTTCCTTGACACCAATCAGAATATCTGCTAGATTATGAAATCGCGATTTTAATGATTTAACCCTTCAAATTTTTTGGATGCCAATGAGCTGTATATGAAGATGAAATGAAAAAAAAGAGAATCGCGTCATTCGCTCAATGAAAGCAAAAGTCCATGGACGACTGACTAGATTAGAGCAGAGAAGCCAGAGAGGAACGTTGAGGAGTTTCAAGGAACTTCGTCACAGTCGGCCGAGCGCGGTATGCCCCAGGAATTATTTATGAAATTTCGGTTTCTAGCATGGAATCCTGACGTGTGTATGTGTTTGTGTGTGCATGTGTGTGTGTATGTGCGACCGCGCTTTCCATTTCTTCCTCCTTTCCCTTTTTAGCTTCTTATACACGAGACGCGTATATGTGGATCGATCCATATAACCCTTTCATTCGCAGCATCCGCAAGAGTCCGTAGATGTACTCTATTTCTTGTCTACGTAAGTCGAACTATTTAAAAAATTCATCCAAACATCAATTTTATTCAGCGAAGAGCTTGATATAAAATAATAAATGAGAAAAAAGTTTATTTATTCATTCATTCATTTATTCATTCATTCATTCATTCATTCATTCATTCATTCATTCATTCATTCATTCGTTCGTTCATTCATTCATTTATTCATTCATTCATTCATTCATTCATTCATTCATTCATTCATTCATTCATTCATTCATTCATTCATTCATTCATTTATTCATTCATTCATTCATTCATTCATTCATTCATTCATTTATTCATTTATTTATTTATTTTATTTATTTTTTATTAATAAGAGAGGCAGAAAAAAATTCTATGTATTTTTATTATAATTGTAATTTTAAAAAAATTGTATAGTAGATACATATTTTTTTCTCAGATTGAAAATAATTTAAATAATGATTAAAAAAATAATAAATAATATACAAATTATTCGCAGCGATATAAAATATTTCAAATAATTATAATAATGAATTCTAAAGAATATCAATCGCAAGAATGATATGCTCAAAGATTTATTTTTCAACTACTTGGCATTACACCAAAGAAAATTGTGTCCTGTGCACAACAAATTATAGTTTCGGTGAAGAATTAAATTTCATTGAAACTGACCATCCGCGTGTTTCGGCCCTTAATCTGTCGAAATAAAAGCTTGATATGTTTAACGAAATGATCGAACTTGTTCATTGCCATACTCCGGATTCGAACGAAATCGACGAGGATAAATATTCTTTCACCTCGAGAAAGCTATGCAGCATTATTAACGACGTTGGCTGCGGTGAAACTGATGGAAACTAACGTCGCATGACGTCGCGGTCAGACATCGTCTGAACGAAAGGTCAGCATATGTAAAAAATAATTGGCGAAACATCCGACAAGAGAGTATATACCTTATAACTACCGTGTCGTTGTTTTTGTTTCACGCCGGCGCTTACATCATTTCTTTCTCTTTCTCATTCTCAGTTTCGCCTTTTCTTTTTTTTTTTTTTTATTGAAATTATTACATAAACGAATGTATCGAGATCGAATCGATCTTACAATCTCGCGTCAGAGTACGCGGAATGTATTTTACACGCGCGCGAATATACAAGCGCCACTCTCGGTGAAAGGTCTGTTCGTCTTTGCACACATACACGAATTAAAAGTCGTTCGTAATTTATTGAGTCCCGATAGCCCTCGACTCGTGTGACAGAAAAGCCTGTGACATATCGCGATCATATTGTCGAGCACGAACAAGTGCGACTTCACTGCGCTGTAAGATAGCGGTTCAAATTGTGGAGTAGACAGTGTTGTACTTATTGTTAGATGATTTTTCAATTAGCTAGGTAAATATGAGATGAAAATGTGTATATTTATTTTAGATTTTGTTTTAAATATATATATTTAAATAAAAAATAAAATTATATAGTGATTCATCTAAGTAACTTCTAGATAATATTTTTTAAAGGTAGCTTATGTAAACAATAGTTATCAAAATGGGATAAAAAAATATTCATACCCCATACAGCACAAAATATTATGAATGTTTTCAAAAAATATTTCTAAATATTTCTATAAAATATTGCATAAAAACATTTTAAAATGGTTTTAGGGATATTTTAAAATAATTTAAAAATTTTTGAAAATTATTTTATCTTTTAAGAATGATTTTTAGAAGATTTTAAAAATATTTTGTGCCGTATGGGACTTTTTATCGCTTACTGCTTAAGTAACTTTTATGTGCTATGACTCTAAATCAATTATCTGAAGATTATTTTAGATAATTTAATAAAGATAACACTTTTTCTAATTAAGATATAGATATAGATAATACATATTTTTATTATATATATAAAGATAAGATCATATCCCAAAATTTTATCTTGACGATTATCTATGTAATTTATTTAGATAACAGCAAGTATGGAGAGTGGACGAAGCTAGAGGCACGATCAGAAATAATCGGAAGAAATAATATTTATAATTGTCGTACAACATAAATAATTCTGCATTCAAAATATGCAGACAGTATTATTTAAATCATTATTTAATATCTGCTATTTAATTATTTAATATTTTTGCTGTCAGAAAATAACATATTTATTCTCTTCCTGAAATATCATGTATATATTTATAAATGTGTTTAATGTACTATATTTTTGTGCGTGAAGCGTTTAATGAAGCGCTAGTGTCTATAAATCAATTATGCAGTCGCGTTATGTAAAAATGCTTATTGGAAAAAAATACCTTTTGCAATTTGAATATCCAAAGAATTATTAGCGAGCTGTAATTGAGAGTACAGGTATACAGAGTCAGCCGCGACGAATATAATTTAATCTGACGGTAACAATTAACACCTGTCTGTGGCGCGTGTTAGATAAGCGAGGTGAAAGTTGCCTATTATAGTATCTTATTACTTTTTAATTACATTTTATCTTGCAATTTTTCACGAAGCTCTGCTCATATATTCGATCAAACGAGAGTGACACTTTATTGTGCGACGATGCAAAATATGTTTACTTTTAATTATTTTTAATAAATATTATTTTTAGTTTTTCTCAGATTCAGCCTCATTTTAAAATTAATCTTAATTAATTTTTATTTAATCGCGTTTTGTTAATCTTCGTCTGACTTAATGCAATTCTTTTCTTTAGTCTAATTGCGTTTACGTAACGTTACACATTTGCGCGAAATTACGTTACACATATCTAACGGTAGCCGATCGAAATTACAAACTCGAATTTCTGGAGCATTAACCTGTCGTCGATGCGTGACGATAGTTGTGCATAATTATAGCTGTAACTAGTGCAACCGGGGTTTGCAGGGGACCCTGGACCTACGATTGCGCAACCGCATAAATTACTCCTATAAATTACGGCTGCGTCAATTCGACCGGTGGCGAGCAGGATTTTATCTTTTGACAGAAAATAATCATTTAATCTCTTTTATTTCGCGTCGAAACATTTGATACAGATATTATGATTGGATCTTAATATTTCCATAAATATTGTATAATACGAAAGAATATACATATAATATATTAACTGAAAGCTCTGGAGGCAAATATAAATATTAATAATATGAATAGACTCGTGTTGCTATAACATTTTGCTATAATATTTTCATAAAATTTGAAGGCGTTTAGTTCTGCGAAAGCTATTTTATATTAGTGAAATTTATTTGAAATTTTTATTTTTATTCAATTCACTAAAAAAATAAAAAAGTTATCTTGAGCAAATATTCGAAAGAATGTTAAACATTTTATCATCTTTTGGATTTTTTTTACTAAACGCGTAATGCAAATTTTTCTCATCTCTCTTTTTCGTTTTTCAGTTTTCGTATTGATCCTCAATCTACATCATGGCCCTTTATTATGCAGCGCGGGGGAACCTGGCGTAAGTTAAATAATAAAATTGATATAAATAAAAATTGAAGTCATTTACTTGAATTTTTCTTGATCCGTCGGATTTTGGATCTTTCAAGTATCTGGATTTCGACAACCTGCCGGAGACGAACTTCTCGTGTCAAGGAAAAGTGATTGGCGGATACTACGCGGATGTCGAGGCGGGCTGTCAAATGTTTCACGTCTGCACCATCGGCCAGAAAGGTAATTTATTACAGACAAAATGTACGAAATAAAAATTTCGATGATGAAGAATAAATATTCCTCTTAAGGGGATGCTGCTGTAGTTCTGTTTTACCGACTTTAAGTTAGGTTAGATTCATGTTTTATTGAATATACAGATTGGAAAATCCTCCACAATGAAAGTACTGATAATAATGAATTCTTTCAAGTCATCTCTATTAGGAGCGCCATATTTTGTGCACAAGTAAACTGCAGAATTTTTGTATTAAATAAGTATTGTTATGAGCTGATGCAAGAGGCCGATAAAAAAACCTATAATTTTTTAACTTTTATTATTTTTTATACAAGAATTTACAGCGCTCCCAGTTCATTATTATCAGTACTTCAGTAGTTCAGTATTATCAGTACTTTAATTGTGGAGAAGGATTTTTTAGTCTGTAAAGCCAATAAAAAGAAAAGCCCTTGAACTCAAAGTCGGTAAAACAGACATGGTCAGCATCTCTTTAAACGCTTTATATAATTCGGCATCCTTCTTTTTTGGCAGAAAAGTAACGAACGTTAATTCCAGTTAACGAGTTTAGATTCTCGCGTTCGATAAGACGAGAAGAACGACTCCTCGGTCCCTGACAAGTCAAAGCCAGACTCTCGACTTAGGTCAGTAAACGTTTCTAGGCGACCGTGACATTCTCGCCGTTAAAGCGATCTCCTGATTGATTACGAAACTTCGTGGGGACCTTCGGCCGGACCTTTCGAAACGATCTACTTGTCATCGATATACGCGCGTCGACCTTAATTACATTCGCGCTGCTATTAATTATCGCTTCTAATTTTAATTTGCCGGATCCGCGTCCGTGACAGAACTCTTGACAAGATGCAAAAGACGCCGACTCCGATCGTACCTCGGTGATTCGACGTGAACGCTTGACATATAAAGCGATTTGCATAATTACCTGTATAAGATTTTATAGACTGGATCGCGAGGTGAACGCGACGTGTGCAATTTTGTCTGGAAGTTCAAAGATTAAATATCTCTCAAATAGATACGCGCGAGACACGTTTTCTCAAAGATACACTGCAAAAATTATTAATTAATCATTTATTTGAACAAATAAATACTTATCTGTTTTAAAAAAGATTTTCTTATATCAAATAAATATTTAATAATTGTTTTAAGTGTAATTTATTGTATTCCCAGTAGAAACTGGAATAAAACTTCAAAAAATTACTCTTGAAGATGCAGCATTTTCGTTTGTAATATGATCAAGTGCGAAGGAACGAATAATAAAATTGTAAAATAAAAATGCAAGTGTCTCGAAATTTTAACGAATATGTGATTTGATTTCAGACGAGATCATGGATATAAAATTTCTCTGCCTGAATGGGACCGTCTTCGACCAGGAAACCAGGGTCTGCGAGAGGGTCGACGAAGTCGACTGCAGCAAGAGCGAGCGATTCTACAATCTGAATCTAGAACTCTACGGCAATAACGCTGTGACACTCAGGTAAAACTGCATGTCGCAATCCATCCATGTCGCGCCCTTATTTCCATTGTAAAAATTAAGGTTTCCGGTAAATCACGCGTGCGTATATACCCGGGAAAATAAATTGTCAGTGACACGCAGGGTTAATGACAATTCGCCAATTGGTGAAAAATAATATCAGCGATATGCCAAGCCGGTCGTTCTAATCTATTTTACGATTTCGCATTAGCGCGAGTCGCTGTGAGCAGAAACTCACTCGATCGAATGAAATAAATTCTTGCACACTCTGACTGCTCACATATCAAGTATTTCTAACATTATTGCAATTTGCGCAGCCGACTTAGACGTTTATTCAAAGGATCAAAGGTATATGGAATGTATCTGGGTTAATTTATCTCCAATTTGTATAAAATGTGTACGGATGAAATAGTGACAATGTAATTAAAGCTATATATATATATATATATATGTATATATATATATTTCTTGGATATGATTTTTTTACTAATTATTTAAATAAAAAAAGTCGTACTAATATTAAATAAGAATCTAAAAAAGGAGAGGAGAGGGAAATCGATTTCGAATTTATCAATAAATTTCAATTACAATTTGTAGTTGACTTAGATATTTACTCAAATTTTTTAATTATTTTAAATGCATTAAAGCGATAATTAAATTTATCCCCGAGTTTTAAGGATTAAATAATAGTCTAAAAAATGTCCTAAATATTTTCATGGACAAAACTTTTTGTATCATCAATGTACGTGCCTAGGAATGTACGAGAATTATTTTATTTTTTTCTATATTTTGAAACTCGTTCAAAGGATCAAAAGATACATAGAATGTATCTGGTTCAATTTATATAAAATGTAATTTGTGTAAAATGTAAAATGTAAAATTGTAATTTGTGTAAAATGTACGGATAAATAATTAAATAAAATTAAAGCTACATAAATTTCTTGGATATAAATAAATAATGATTTTTTTACTATTTTATTTAAAAAAAAGCTCACTATTATTCAATAAAAATCTAGAAAAAAGAGATAAAGATCGATTTCCAATTTTCGATAAATTTTAAAATTGAATCCGTGCGAATATTACGGAACATTCTGTACACACACGTGATGTAATATCAGCTCGTCGTATTTCAAAAAAATTCTCGCTTGGACTTCGTTGCTACATTTTTCTCGCTTCGTTTCGTTCATGCAATATAACGCTTCACAAAGCAACAACGCCTAGAGATATAATCGTGTAAATGTTGCGGCGAAAACGCGGCGGCACGCTTTCAAAGTCCCCCTTCAACATATTCGAGTTGCATATTTTCAATTCGCGCATACTTTGCATATACATGCACTTTTCCGGTGAATGCTTATATACTTTAGACGAGTCGAGTACAAAATTGCCGGCTATAAAAGACATGCCCCATAACTTGGGCATCCATAAATACCTTACCGGCTTTTCTTCGCTCGAACGATATCTCAGGAATGCGCCAGAGTCTATGTATATATAAATATTTGTATGCAAATAAAAATTATAACGATCAACTGTCGACGAAATTTATACGATCTCCGCCGTTCGACGACGCGGCTACTTAGTCATTGACGGCCGTCTATTTTTAGCCGAAGTAAATCTCGTTTCTCGCGCGGCTCGCTTTATCCCGCTCGCCTGTCTGCGACCTTACACGGTTAACGTCGTTATTATCATCCGTCAGTGTCGTCCGACGATTAACGCTCATTACCTGGAAGCGGTTATCTCGTAGACGAGCGCGGTGCAATCGTACACGCCCATGTGTAGATGCGAGAGGCCGAGGAATGCGTCGAGATCGTCCGCTCGTCGCGACGATGTGATTTCTTCCCCGATAATTTACGGTGAAAATGTACGCGATAAAAGTGCTCGTAAACAGATTCAGAAATTACGATTACCCGATATAAATCACCCGCGAAACTAACCGGTCTGGTTTCGCTCTAATAGCACACTATATCTGAAAGACATTCTGAGGATGTCCAGAAGGATATCCCGAGGACATTCGAACATCCTCAGGACGTTCACTAAACGTCTTCGGGATATGTGTGTTGTTAGAATCTGGTTTCGCCCTAATAGTAGGTACACCATGTCCGAAAGACATTCTAAGGATATCCAGAGGATATTCGAACATCCTTAGGATGTTCTCTGAACGTCTTTGGGATATGTGTTAGGGTCTGGTTTCACCCTAATAGCACACCATATCCAAAAGACATTCCGAGGATGTCCAGAGGATATCCCAGGACATTCAAACATCCTTAGGATGTTCGAATGTCCTATGGATATCCTCTAAATGTCTTTTGGATATATGTGCTGTTAGGGTAGGGTCTGGTTTTACCCTAATAGCACACCATATCCGAAAGGCATTCTGAGGATGTCCAGAGGATACTCCAATAAAGACATTCAAACATCCTTAGGATTCTTAGGATGTTCGAATATCCTCTGGATATCCTCTAAATGTCTTTGGAATATGTGTGCTGTTAGGATAGGGTCTGGTTTCATCCCAATAGCACATCATATCCGAATAGCATTCTGAGGATGTCCAGAGGATACCCCAATAAGGACATTCAAAAATCCTTAGGATGTTCGAATGTCCTCTGGATATCCTCTAAATGTCTTTGGGATATGTGTGCTGTTAGGGTAGGGTCTGGTTTTGCCCTAATAGCACACCATATCCGAAAGACATTCTGAGGATATCCGAAGGATATCCAGAGAACATCCTCAGGATGTTCTCTGAACGTCTATGTGTGCTGTTACGGCGTAAACCTCTGATGATCTTTTTACATCTTCGTTTCCCTTCGCAGCCTGCACGAGAACGATGAAGACGAGGACGACGAGGACGATCTGACGGATCACTCGGTGGAGGATCATCCAAGGACGACCTCGGCGCGACCCAGTACGACCTCGACGACCCCTAGTCCTACGACTACGTCCCGACCCAGCAAACCGTCGACTACCGTCGCCAGCGGCGCCTTCCAACATCCAGCTGGTTATCCTCAGCACTATCAGCCCCAGCCGCCGTTCCCCCAGGTGCACACGAGCCAGTCCAAGGCGCTGTACGACGACAAGAACGGCGGCTATCATCATCAGTACATCTACCACAACGGCGACGAGCGGGTAAACAATCAGGCCACGTCCTATCAGCTGTTCAGCAGCCAGGGAGGCGTCAGCTCGACGACACCGGCCCCGCAGATCCATCCCCAGGTCAGGTACAGCTCGACGGTGGGTCCGTCGTCGATCATTCAGCACAACGAGCCGTCGACGGTGACGCCGTTGTATCACGCCACGTCCCCAGCCACGATACAGACCCTGCTTAATAATAATGCCAACAGCCCCGCGGCCTTGATTAACCCCATCTTTCATAATCATGGTATCGCGAGCACCACCGAACAGTTTGCTGTACACAGCAACAATCCGCGTGAGACCGCGGACTATCGCGACGAAGATGATCACGAAGGTATAAGGCCACTGGAGCCGAGACAGCCGACTCATAAGGGAAAGGTAAGTTTGGGTGCTTTTTCAAATGCTAGATGAAGATGAGATGAAAATATAAATAAATTATTATTTAATAGTTAAATAAAATAATTTAATTTTAATGTTAAATAAATTAAATGATTAAACAATATAAAGTAAAAATAACACTTTTCTTCATCTAAGACCGCAGATATACATATTTTTATTATCTATATAAAGATAAGATGACGCCAAAATTCCATCTAGATGATCATCTATATAATTTTATTTAGATAACAGCAAGGACTGGTCATTCTCTTTAATTTTTGCAGTCCACTTGAATTTTAATTTAAAATTAAATTAAATCAGTTTATTTCGACAAAGTATCCTCGGACGCCATATATAATAAAATCTACACAACATTAACCTAATTAAAAAATATATAATAATTTATCTAATACAAAGGCTTACAACTTTTAGTGAAGTTATTAATTCAACGTATGTACATACTCATAATACACCAAGAGAGAAAAATGTTATCCCTAATTTCAGGTGTCTAAGTTAACGATATCTCCGGTGCCGAGCCTCCAGGAGTCTTCTCGCACGGTGGTGCATACGAAGACGAGTCAAACGTCGCATCAACAGAGGCTATCCGACAACTTCTTGCCGACCTCCGACGGGGATACGACCGTCAGATCGTTTTACCCAACGCCGAGGCCTTCGCCGAAGCCTCCGCAGTCGGTTACCCAACGCATTCACCGGGTGACTTCGCCAGGCGTGACGGTGCCGCAGCTCAAGCCCCATCAGATCACCATAAATCTCCCGCCGCCTGACATCCAGAGAATCGTGCAGAACCCGTCGCCGCTGCTGCCGTCGCAGTCGCGGGTGATCGTCACCGCGAAGGCGAGCGTGAGCGACGAGTCCGGAAGGCCGCTGAACACCACGCAGCTGGTGACCTTGCCGTTGCCGACGATCCCGGCCAGCTACGACGATTACAAGGAGGGCGACGAGTCGTTCGATCCGTTTTATCGGGACGTCCCGAAGATCTCGAGGACTCGGCAGGTCGCGAGAAACGCGATGGAGAAGATCCGACTCTCGCGCAAAAACGATCGCACGGCCAGCTCTATCACTTCATCTACGGCGCGGATGATCTTGAAGTGGCGACGCGAAAGAGCGAAAGAGAAAGCCGGCACCAGGATGAAACGCACGTGGAAGATCCCGCCGAGATCAAGGTCGGAGATTTCCAGGCTATTAGGGAGAGCCTGATAAGGTTTAGAGATATCCTATTCAACGACGAAGCGGACGAGGATGTCTTTCGCAATGCTGCTGATGAAATTGAAAACGCTGCTGAACACGTCGCTAAAGACAGCGAAGAGGTTTCGAAGGACTTGAAGGCAGATTCTTCGAGGCCATTGACGCTAGATAAAGAGGAGAATACGAAATCGAGTCACCAAGATTCGTTTTCAAGTATCGAAGCCAATACTGAAAAGTTATCAGACGAGAAAGAGCGTATTAAAAACCCGTCGAAATTGGAGTCTAAATCAAAACTCGAAACTAATCTTGAATTCGCAGCTGCTCGTTCTGAAGGAAATAAATCTCGGACGGATGATATGGACCTAATAATACTCGACAATGACTTTAAGAGCAAAGCTCCGAATTCTGACGTCGAGGCGTTCAAGACCGACGCTCCTTTCGAGATTATTATCGAAGAAGAAAGTCAATCAGCTTTGTACGGATCGAAAGCTAACGAAGAAATTCACGACGAACAACTGGAAGGATACTCGACGAAGGACGAATCGAGCTTCACAGATTCTGACGAAGGAAAACGACTGGAAGCTCCGCAGGAAACAACCGAGCGGAAAAGCACCAAGGATTCCAAAGAACGAAAATCTGGTTCGAGAAGGAAGACTTCTCGAGCGAGACCCTCGAGAAGACGCACATCTTCGAGAAGAAAGCAGGAAAGACCGAACAGTGTCGAAGAAACGGAGAAAATAGATGAAACCACTACTGTTGCTAGTATCATTACTACTACACCCAATATTGCTACAACTCCAGCTGTCGCGCTGCTTGAGGCGAAAATCGCGGAACAAATCGATACCCACGTTTTCGAAGAACCGGAACCGCAAACTTCCAAAGAGGTAGACACGAGAGAAGTTGGTCAACGCGACTCAACGCATTCGGAAAGTTCGCGAGACGACGGAGTCGAGAAAAGTGAGGAGGTCGAGCGAGCGTTCGATTACGAAATTATGGAGGAGGACGCGAGAAATTTCGATGCCGATAAGTCGGAAGAGGCGGAGCGGAAAACCGAAGCTACAAACTTTACCGAGAATCCGGTGGAGACAGAATTGACGGAATCGACGGAAGTTACAGGCGCTCCCGAAGAGAACAAGTCCGACGAAGAATTCCTCTCGAAAGAATACGAAACTTCGGACGACGACGAAGTCGAAGAATCTGACGCGAAAGAGAAAAAGTTGGAAACGAGCTCGGAAGAGACACTTAACAAGATTTTCTCTCAGAAGGACGATTCGAAACAAGAGGAATCAAGCGAGAGGGCGAGCACCGAGGAGGAACTGACTGCGAAATACAGCGAGGAGGCAAATTACGAAGAGTCGAGCGAGTATTCGGACACGACTGTGGAATCGTCCGCAGAAAATTCGCGCGACACCAGCGTCCAGGAAGATTACAAGGAAAGCACCGAAGAATATACAACATCTGTCGATTACTCGAGTTCCGAGGAGTATAATGATTCCCGGGAAGATGTCACGTACTCGACCCAAAATGTCGAACCCAGCACCGAAGGTATCCTCAAATTCACGGACGAATTACCGAGATCGTTCGAGAGGGACGAGGACGCGGAGACAAAGGAATCGTTCGCATCCATCGATACGTACGATTACGTTGACGACAATTACGAGCCGGAAAATTACAAAGAACTGGAGACCGCGTCTGAATCGAATGACTCCAATAAGGAAAAGAAGAACGACGCGGCGCCGAAAGATCTCGATCTCGATAAGAAAGATCTGGAGACGCATCGGATCAACGATGAGACAAAATCGGAGGTGGAACAAAGTACGGAAGAGAGTGCCACGGAAGTTCCGGATCTCGAAGAGGTCACAGGTTTAGCCACCACTTTGCCGACCACCACAACAACTTTGTCATCCACCACCACGATGTCGTCGACTAGTACGACTACAACTACGACTACAACCACGACTACAACCACGACTACCCCTCGACCGACGACTTCAACCGCTCGTTCCACGTCCCCGAAGATTTTCAAGCCCGTCGGGAACAGGAGGATTTACGTTTATAATCCCCCGACGACGACTCCGATCCCGGTCGTGATTAAATCGAGGCTGGGCCTGTTCAATCCCAAACCGGCGAAGCCACCCAAATCCTACAACGACTTGGCGCCGAAGCCAGTGATCAGGAAACTGGCTTTGACACGTAAACCTAGTGATGCCACTGCGATTATTACGGAGACGTTGAACACGAAAAATCCGATGGAAATCACGACGGAGTCTGTGACGTCGGCAATGACGATGATGCCAGTGATGACGACGACGGAGTCTGGTAGAAGCTTGGAGAACGTTCTCGAGAGCAAACTGGAAGCGAAGGAGCCTATATCTGTCAATTCTTCATCCGTGAAAAACGATCGGACGACCAAGGAGGATCAACTTTCGAGCTCGAGCGAGCAAAGTTTTCCCGCCAACTTTTCAAGAAAAGCCGATCCAGGAACCTCGAAAGAGGTTGAGACTTCCACCCTCCATTTCTTGTCAAAATCGACCACCCTTGCGTCTCCTGTCAACTACAAAGAGCCGATAGAAATGCAGACCACGTTGCCTCTTGAGTCATTCAGCGAGCCGAGAACCGACAATAAATACCCTGAAGAAGGACCTGAAGTGGGGACCACGACGACTTCCGCCAAAGTCTACCAAGAGTACGCTACGGAAATTCCTTCGGTTCTCGCCGAACAACCGACGTCAGCCTCGACGGTTCCGAGCTCGACGACCGTCCTGAAAGCTGAAGATGCCGATCCAGGCACGACGACGGAACTCGCGATCCGCCGACCGAGCAACCGGAAGTTCGCGGGACCGCGGAAGCACCCGAGCTTCAACTGCCTGGAGAAGGAGATGTATCGCTTCTACGGCGACGCCAGGGACTGCCGATTGTTCCACTATTGCTCGCCCGGCTTCACCTCGCGGCAGGTGCTGGACTTCCGGTTTGTCTGCGAGGAGGGCACGGCCTTCGACGAGGAGACGCAGACCTGCCGTCACGAAGTGCGCAATCGCAAGTGCCGAAATCGGTACTGGTGAGGCCGGTTCCACCCGTTTCCGGTTGTTTCCTCGACCTCGTTGATTTTGGTAATTCGTGAATCCTCCATAGGACTCTCCGTAGTTTATTTATAACTCTTTTTTTTTTTTAACGCGCAGTACACGTAAGCGAAGTATCCCGAAGAGGAGAGGGTGTTCTCTCCGCTTCTCCTATAAGCCCATTGCCATAGCGCCTCGCGCTGGATTCACACTTATTAAAGTTAACGTCGACCCGGTCGGCTCGCGATCGCCGATCGGATCAGGCGAGAAACAAGGAAGCCGATGCGACGCGTCGTTCACCCGCGGTGCGGATTTCGTGCACGCACCTGAAATAAAAATGCACGACATTGTTATAGTGTTAAGGGATCCTAAACGCGATCTTGTTTTTTTCGATGAAACATCATTTTTGCGCACTCTTAGACAGCACAGAATATTTTTAAAATATTTATAATTATTTTAATATTTTATAAATATATAATAATTATTTAATATTTTATAAATATTTATCATAAATTTTGGAGTTTTAGATTCAATAGAACGTAAATATTTATCAGAAAATATTTATAGAATATTTATAATAATTATTTTAATATTTTATAAAATATAATATTATTATATAATAATTATGTTAATATTTTATAAATATTTATCATAAATGTGGGCCCTTTCCTTTCTTGAATTGTTGAATAATAGAAACAAAATATGAACCTACCGATTTGATGTTAAGAACAAAAAAGATTTTTTAAATATTAATTTAATATTAATATTTTAAATATTTTTGAAGATCCCCTTAAGTTAGAGAAAGAGCGAAGAATCGGTTCCTACGTTGTTCTCGAGACGCGAGAGAGAGACTTTTAAGCGAATACACGATCGCGCGATCGTAAAGTAGTAGTTCTTTTTTGTAACTCTTCACGCGACTGACGTATAAAAACGCGTGAGAATTTCGAAACATGTTGCCGAATATTGCCGAAGAAACTACGCCACGATTACTCTCGTTACTCCTCGCTCATATACATATATACTATTATATACGATAATATAGTGCGATATTTATATCAACATTTTTGGAAACATTCGCTCTTTTTGATCAAAGAAGGAATTTTTTATTCGATATCGAGATGAAATATATATTTTTGATAAAATATACGCGTCTCTCTACATTCTGGTCTTTGACCGAGGTCAACTCTTGTCACGGATCAATGATTCACACAAAGGAATGTGTGTGGTATGCATATAAAAATGTATGAAAATATTTATAATTAAAATATTTTCACGCAGCAGTATCACTCACATTTTTGATAAGGATTTTATTATTTTATATATGCAATTAATTTTTTGATAAGGAATTTTTTTATAAAATTTTATTTTATATATATAATTAATGCTATTTTAATTGTCGCGTGTAATAAAATATGCCTACAAATAAAATATCGCAGACATAAACGCTTATTCTCTCGTTTATTTTTTACTCGTATCGATCCCTCGAATCAATTTTTTGTAGTACCAAAAAGTGCAATAAGGCAAGTAACATTGTTGCTCAAGCATCTTTTTAGATATAAATCTAGCTCGATTAAACATAGATATCTCGAAATAACGAGCGTGCAAGACGTAGTCGATTTAACAAATGCGTTAAACATATATTATATGTAAGAGAGTCGAAGAAAGAAAAAATTTTTTTATCGCAAAGAAAAATATTAATTACAACAAATAATTCGCGTAATTTTTTTTACATGTTATTATAATTTCCTACTATTAATTAACGTGCTTTAATTATGAGTAAAAACGAGTGCACCTCAGAGCCGTAGATAAATATTTATAAATATATATTTTGACGAAATTCTCTTCCCTTTTTTTTATTCCGTATCTTCTAGCGATTTAGATAGAATCTAGGACATTTTTTGTACGTGTCGCCAAAATGAGCGTATGACTCGTTTTAATTTTATTTTCACCTATGTACATATTGCATGCATGCGCGCATTCCAATGACGTATATTAAAAAATTATAGCTATTATATTTTGTAAGCAATTGTACTATGTCAATAATAATTGTATATTCTATACGCACACCTGTGTATTATATATATACGATTCTAGTGTATCCTTTATAAATCCTTATGTTGCTGCTTCCTTTTTCCTGTATATAAAAATTAGAAAAAATTTGGAATATTTTCTTCGCGTGTAATATCTCCTTTTGATTTATCTTTATCGAATATTGTTTTAGATCTGTAGCATTAAGTCGAAATACATTAAATTTTTTTATAAATTTATAATACTAATTTATTGATTAAATTTTATAAACAAAATCAATAACAAAAAATTAGTTGATATAATACTAATTTAGTCGAATTTCGCGATTAAATTCCGTTTTAATAGAGAGTCACATATATTAGAATATTTAATGAATTTAGCGAAGCACTAAATTCAAACTTTAAGTTATTACGTAAAAATCTGTATTAGTGAAATATTGCATTCCAGTAATAAAAACAACTTTATGTGAAAAATATTCACTAATATGTTGGAGGAGGAGGAGATTGGCTTGGGAGTATTTATTTTTATATTTTCATTAAATGTTTTATAATTCTATATTAAATACATTTACTTAAAAGAGGAAACGATTTATATTATAATACGTATATACATCGCTTATGGCTTCGACTCGTACGTGTGTACGATTTGTTTACGAATTTATTATATATTGTAATTGAATCTTTTATTTATCCTCCATTAGTATAATGCATTTTCGATGTATATGATATGCAATTATTTGCATAGGAACATGCAATTTTCTTGTATTAAAATATATCGATTTACATATTGAAATTTCCGCACCTTTTTCCTGTAGCTCTTGATTTTCCACTGCTCTTTTAGAATCATTACATATTTGCTTTTGCTTTTCAATTCCACTCGTATTTAAAAAAGTATCGGCTGGTTATATTGCGAAGTAGTTCTTACTATTGCTTCGTGTTCACTGAAAAATCATTTCATTTAAAATAACATGTAAATAAGCAATTTTGTCATTATATGTGAATTAAATTAAAAGATACTGAAATATCTTTCAATTTTAATAATATTTTTTTCAAATGTCTTTTAAAAATATTTATATTGCTTAAAAATACAGCAACATTTTTATGCGTCAATCAGAATCACATAAAGAAAGAATTCATCGTATAAATAAAATAAAATAAAATATAAATAAAATGAAAATAAAATCGTATTTATAGAAATACATATTTAGATATATTTTTTGAAAACATTCATAATATTTTGTGCTGTATGGGAATATATTTAAAACAAAATCATCTCTTCATCTTAAGATGAATTTACATTAAATTAAAAGATACTGAAATATCTTTCAATTAATAATATTTTTTTCAAATGTCTTTTAAAAATATTTTATATTGCTTAAAATACAGCAACATTTTTATGCGTCAATCAGAATCACATAAAGAAAGAATTCATCGTATAAATAAAATAAATAAAATATAAATAAAATAAAAAATAAAATCGTATTTTATAGAAATACATATTTAGAAATATTTTTTGAAAACATTCATAATATTATATGCTGTGTGGGAATATATTTAAAACAAAATCATCTCTTCATCTTAAGATAAATTTACATATTTTTATCTCATCTTTATCTAGCTAATTTTAAAATCATCTAAGCACAACACTTGCCAAGTAATTTTGCGCTTGATAGAAGATGTTGTTAAATATCACTCACCAGCCAGTGACATTTTCCGCGGCGTCGCAAGCGTCGATGAGGTCGTTAAAGGCGTTTCCTATGCCGCAATTCTGCAATCGCGGACGGCCGTTCACGCAAATGTAATAGTGATGGCAGTCGACGTTGCTGCGGTAAAACTTAATCTCGGCGTCCAGGAAAGGACTGTTTTTCACATCCGGGCAACGGAAGCCGAGGAAAGCCTCGGCGTCGCAATCCGGCACCTGATCCGGCCAGTCGCATCGATACGTTTCCGAACTGAAGGCCAGACCTTCTGGACAGTCGAACACGTATCCACGACCGTCCACGCAGTTCATGAATTGTCCGCAATGCTGATGATTGCCGATCTTGAAATAGCCGTACTGATGGGGACAGTCCTCGGTCGGGTTTGCCTTCTCTAAAAGGGATTTAACAATCAAATTTTCGTTCATCTTTTATTGTGCGTAATAGAATTAAAATCTGCACACTGAAAAATAAATGATTCAATTAATAAATATTTTATTTACTTGTCTATCTTTATATAAATAATAATAATATGTACATCTGCATTTTAAATGAAAAGTGTTATCTGAATTATCTAAAATAATGTTTGGATAATTTAGTTATAGCTCGTAAAAATACTTAAATATTTTTATTAAGGAGCAAAGTAGCAGAACTTAAGCAGTAAGCGATATTATAAAAACTTACAAATAAAATAATGAAAAATATATTTTTATTTTGTGTACATAAGAGATCTTAAAACGATCTAGATGAATCGTTACCCATATAGCATAAAATATTATGAATGTTTTCAAAAAATATTTCTATAAAATATTGCATAAAAACATTTTCAAATATTTTGAAAAACTTTTAAAATGTTCTTCTTTATCGCTCAGATAATATTTTCTTAAATATTTGATACATATTTTGAAATATTAGTTTAAATCTAGGTATATTCAAAAATATTTCTGAAAATTTTTTTGAACATGAAAAAGCGGACATAGAAACATTTTAAAAATATTTTCGAAAATTATTTTATCTTTTAAGAAATATTTTTAAAAGATTATAAAAATATTTTGTGCTGTATGAACATATATAATTTTTTTATCTATAATTTTATCTAAGATTAATTTTTACATATTTTCATCTCAACTTTATCGAGCTAATTTTAAAATTATCTAAGCACAATAAGAGACTGCAAAAGTAACTCACGCAAGTTTGGCCTGCCCGTGCAATCTATGTCGATCGGATATCCGCAAGGATAATTGAAGCGGGCATCAGGATTGAAGTATAAGCCCTCAGGGCATAACTTTTCTTCGGCAACCCCGTCGATGCACTCGATATAAGCGTCGCATTGATTCTGCACCGGATAACGACCATTCCTCTCCGGACACGAGACGGACGAGCCGCGTTTAGGCGAGAATTGCTGCTGATTGCGATTCAACTGATTGTCAAACAGCTGATTCGAAAACCTGGGATTTTGATTGAGCGCTGAAATATGACAAGTCATTTTTTTAAAGGGATGCTGCCGTTGTTCTGTTTTATCGACTTTAAGTTAGGTTAGGTTCACTTTTTATTGAATATACAGATTGGAAAATCCTCCACAATAAAAGTACTGATAATAATGAATTCTTTCATGTCATCTCTATTGGGAGCGCCATATTTTGTGCACAAGTAAACTGCAGAATTTTTGTATTAAATAAGTATTGTTATGAGCTGATGCAAGAGGCCGATAACAAAACTGTAATTTTTTAACTTTATTGTTTTTTTTATACAAAATTACAGCGCTCCCCGTTTATTATTATTATCAATATTTTAATTGTGGAGAAAAATTTTTCAATCTGTATAGCCAATAAAAAGAAAAGTCCTTGAATTCATAGTTGGTAAAACAGTCATGGTAAGCATTCTCTTAATAGAAAAATATTTCATGAATTCTTATCTTGAATAAAACTCTCAAGTTTCTTTCATCGTCTACTTTTTGCTACCAAAGTCGCAGAACGACTCTCTGGTTTAAATCAAACCACAATATTGCGCATAAAACTCGTCAAACGAGTCCGTCCAGAAAGTATTAATGAGTCGTAGCGAGATGCGATTATCGCATGATGGCGAAAGTTCGGCGATAGCCAGCATTCGACCTCTATATATGTATGTATATATGTGATACGCATACATTAACGTTACCTGCGCATCGCTTACGCAATGTCTGCATGTTGTTTGTAAACGATTTCGCCGCGGGCAAGATTGGGCCGAGAATACACTTTCAGGGATAAAGTAACATCAGCAACATTTTTTTATATAGAGAAAAAACCCGAAATATAAAAAATAAAATTGCACATTCTCGTTAATCGATTTCCACACAGCATAAAATATTTTTAAAATCTTTCAAAAATATTTCTTAAACGATAAAAGAATTCTCGAAAACATTTTTAAAATGTTTCTTTATCCGCTTTTTCATGTTTATAAATATTTTTGAATATAGATTTAAACTGATATTTCAAAAATATGTATCAAATATTTATGAAAATATTATCTGAGCGATAAAGAAGAACATTTTAAAAGTTTTTAAAAATATTCTACAAAATGTTATCACAAAAATTTATAGAAATATTTAGAAATATTTTTTGAAAACATCATAATATTTTATGTTGTATGGATTGAAATTGATATAAATTGTAATATGTAGAAAAAATTCTTTCTATGACGCTGTCTTTTTTATATTATTAAAAAATAAAAATAATATAATTCGGGATGGAAAGAGAGCTGAGACCGATATGGTGCAGCCTCGGGATATCACGAAAGACCAAGAAATAACGACAATAGTTTCGTGCACGAAAACTGTCGGGCATTCCCGAGAAATGTTTCCCGGGGCAGAAATTGCGCAAGGTATGTAAACGCAAACAACGGGAGAAAGTTTCTCTGCTGATTACAAATTCGATTATCCGTCGTTAAACCGACGAGCACGAACATTAAACTTATCTATCGAGGATTCTTTCCGTCTATCGAGGACAAAAGGAATTTTATCGGTCGAAGCATTAATTGATTTATTTAATTTTAAATTTGTAGAAAGAAATAAAAAAAGTATTGTTCTTCGAAAGTTTACAACCGTATGATGTATACATTATTTAAGAGTAAAACTGTTCGCGATATAACAGCTGTACAAATTTCACCCACGTGATACGGGATTAATATTCATGGTTGCCTCTAAGCTTTAAGCTTAAAAAATTCATTTTTCTAACAACACATCGCATACAAATCACCTATGCGTTCGTGACTGAGCATACGTGTGATCGCATAGCTGCAAAATACTATTCAGGACGCGTTTGCATTCATAAAAACGAGATAAACCAGAGTACACGAATTTTCTTAAACATTTTGGATCTTCACGCACCTTAAATTATTTAAATTTCGCATTTATTTAATATATTACATAATACATATATATATATTATATTTTTCGTGCAATATTTGAGATGAAAAAATCTATAATTGTTAGTGTTAAAATATAAACAATATGTTTAATTAATCAATTATGATAAGTCATATCAATAGCATTCACAAATTAAAAAAGCACGGTCCATATTTTTATCATTTCAATACTTGATTACTGAAAATCGTGTTTGAGTGTTTAGTATAACTCATTGTCAGTTTAAAAAATTTAATACATCTCTAAATTCGAAAAAATACTGCTTATTTAATTCAATGACAGTTCACTAATTAAAAAGGAAAAAATGAATTATGTGACACATCACTGCGGAATTAAAACGATAATTTGAAAAAAGGAGCAAAGATATGACTCTCTTTTCAGGCGGATAATTATTAATTTCATTTTCTCGAATATCAAAAGTCAAAATTAGCAAAAAGTTTTTTATATAGAGAGAAACTCGAAATATATATGAAAATAAAATTGCACATTCTCGTTATAATCGATTCCCATACAGCACAAAATATTTTTAAAATCTTTTAAAACTATTTCTTAAAGAATAAAATAATTCTCGAAAATATTTTTAAAATGTTTCTATGTTCGCTTTTTCATGTTTAAAAATTATTTTCAGAAATCTTTTTGAATATAGATATAAACTAATATTTCAAAAATATGTATAAAATATTTAAGAAAATATTATCTGAGCGATAAAGAAGAACATTTTAAAAGTTTTTAAAAATATTCTAAAAAATGTTATCACAAAAAATTTTTGAATCGTTTTAAGATATTCCCAAAACCATTTTATGCAATATTTTATAGAAATATTTAGAAATATCTTTTGAAAACATTCATAATATTTTATTGAAGAAACACACACAGAGAGGGTAACTTTTTTTACTCACACGTCGTCGCGACAAAATGCCGCAGGCGATTAATAGATGAACGATCGATCTCGAGGCCATCCCGGTTGTTGAATTCGCGCGTTTCACGTTCCTTCTGGGCCGATCCCGAAAGGAGGACTACGACGGACCGCTACCTCCTAACATGCTTTTATCATCTTCGCTCGTGGATGAGAAGCGGGAGAAGCGTAAGTCGTCTTCTCATGCAGAAGCGACCGTAAAAGTGGTCGTCCCTTCCTTCTCGCAAAGGCCTTTCATCATGTGACACATGCTAAAGAGATTAATCACTCCATTCTAAGTTTCATTCATTCGGCATTCTATTTTAACTCACTTGTAAACGCGCGTTTGAAAAGCACTATTAATAACTATTAATGACTATATTAAAAGCACCATTAATGACTATTAATAACTATTAATGACTATTAATGACTATATAAAAGCACCATTAATGACTATTAATAACTATTAAGAGCACTATTTTGACTATTATAACTATTAATGACTGTTAATGACTATTAATGACTATTAAAAGCACTATTAATGAGTGTTTAAAAATTAATTATATATACATATACTTTTATTCAAAATTAAATAATAAAAAAATATTACTTTTAAATATATGAAAGGATCAATAATATTTTTTATCTAATGTAACGAAGTATTTTTTGCGGAGATTTCGTGCTAAACGTTGTTATTTGTCTATTCATGAATTAATAGTAATGAACGCTGTATCTTGGAATATTCTTGGATTAGAGAATGTCGCCGACCTAAGACGATGGATTTGTATGAATGTCAGAAATGCCATTTGCAGTCAGCCTTGTTCGTCTCCTCGCACAAGGATGGCAATTGCACAGGTCGAGAGTCATCTCTCTTAACAAAGAGCAGACTGTAATGTGCGCCGCATTTAGATACACGTTTATACTGTTAAAATACTGTAGAATTTGTTTACATAATTTTTACGCAACATTAATTGCATAAATTGATTCGTAAACTGGATTTACATAAAGAATTATTCGGAATACTGTGATTATTCAATGAGAGACTAACGTGAAGTTAAATATGTATATACGTACTTGATACTCTCTTGTTATATTTTGAAAAATATTTTTTTATATTACAAAAACGAAGTAACTCTACTTTATATCTTGACAAGATTGATACAGCATGATTGAGAAATATTTATTACAATTATCCAATCATTAAAAATATATAATAATAAAATTTTGATAAAACAATTTTTAATGACAGTCATGTAAAAAATTTTTTATCTCAAGATAAAAATTTTTAGAAATTTGAGATACATGACTGTCATTAAAAATGTTTGATTAAAAATTTTATTATTATATATTTATTATTATTATAATATATTTTTAATGATTGGATAATTGTAATATAAATATTTCTCAATATATCTAAATATAATTTTATTTTTTAAATAAATATGACGTAATCTTTTCTCTTAATTATTTTATTTTTATACTTATATATTTTATTTAATATATATTTCACTTAATATATTTTATTTAATATACATTTTTGTTTTTTTATTTTCCAAAAGAGAGACAAAGAACACATGTTATGCTCGCGCGTTAGAGGAGAGAACGCGCGTGTTATCTCCGTTCTGTGGAATGGAGCCTTGACATTTTGTTCGGACGAGAGCGAGTCGTCTCGAACGTAGAAGGTATAAATCAAAAGATCTTTTACCTCGCACTAAACAGTCTACAGTCTGATTACGTCAATAAGGAAACAGCGGTGACGATTCTCCGAATACTTCACGTGTCTAAACGCGCGCGCCACGTGGACAGTTTCCGTATATGTCGCAATATAAAAAGTCAAAAGCATTAAAGACAGATGAATCAGAAATGATAGCGGCATGAGAATTATATAGTATAAGTGCAGATAATTCGCAAAAATTACCAATCGAAATCCGATCCTCGTTAACTTTTGTAGCGTACGTCTTGTCCGAAGAGCTTCGTCTGTCTAATGGGGGTGCGTATCTACTGAATGGACGTCTGACAGCAAAAGGTCAGTACTACTTCGCATCATGCGCTGCGGAGAAAAGGGTTTCGTTCGTCCATTCTATTAGCTCTTCTTCGTTTTTCTTGCATTTGCTCGTCTAAAAGATTACAAAGATCGGAAGAACGTTAAATTACATTAATTAATACGTATTTCTGATAAAAATTAATTACTAGAAATTATTAATTATTAATTAACTTTTTATCATCGTTCTTATATAGAAGAATGAACTTTTCACGAGCCTTTTTTATACGATAACTTATTAGAAATGGTCTAGCTAAATGTGCACAACAAATATTTTATTTTTGTTATTTGTATCAATAGTAATTTAAAAAATAGAAATAGAAATTATTACTTTCTATCATGTTAAAATTAAAATTTATATTTTTAAAGTTTATATATTTACTTGCAGTTTCCTCGCGTAGGTTTGTAATATCAACTTTTGATTTTTTTCTATTTTTAATTTCACATTTATTAATATCAGCAGAGTTATCAAGAGAGATGCAATATAGGAAAATTAATTAAGAATTTTTGTATTAATTCTTAATTTTTCTAAATTTTTAACATTTTATATTAATTTCTCTAGTTTTTAATTTTTTATTAATTTTTATTTAAAGTTTTTTGTTTTGTATTATATTTTATATTAATTTTTTCAAGATATATGTGTATAGTATATATTGAAATGTATATTACTCTTATTCACATTTTCAATCATTAACCTTCAAAACATGTTAGCATCTCATTTCACATTTTCCAAAATTTGAACCATGAAAATTTACAGTTTTCGACAGACTATAGTTCAGTAGCATAATTTTCATCATAGATTGTTACTAAATACATATATTACCCAAAAATTGACAGAACTTCGTTATACGAGTATATCCGGTCTCTCGAGCTAATAAATATATATTTTAAATAATTTCAAGCCTTTATGGCTCTGAACTCTTTAGAAAATAATTGTGTTGTTCTAGTTATATTTAAAATACAGACATACCTGTGTTTGTTTCGACATACTCACATACATATAGGGAATGTAACGTCGAGTATAAGCAGAGGTTTTAGCTTTTGAATAATCACTTTTATTTTTGATCCTTATCAATATTAAACAACGTATATAGTTACGTAAGGGTATATATATTACATGGAAAAAATTCTGTCCTTCTCGTGCGCATATATCTTCCCGAGATACCTCGAGTGCCCTCAACCCGACCGTCCGAGAGAAACAAAATCTATATCATATGCATATACATACATCATTCACACTCGCACACTTTCTCACATTTTTCCTTTCATTCTCGTTCTCTCTGCTCTTCTTTATAAGGGCAAGAAAAATTCTTTATGATTTTCTTCTGCTAGTTTCTCGGCAAAATAGCGAGAAAGATAGCGTTCAACGAAACTTCCGACGTTAAGGAACGCTTTTGCTTTTCCATCCTTGGACGATACACGTAAGTTGCCTAGCTGCTACCCTTCTCGCCGAGCTCGTAATCTCGGATCTTCCTGGATCGATCCGCTTTTTGCAAGTCCGATATGGAGTAGCTCTCGCGTAACAGGCGATTCGTAGAATTTGCAAAGTGTGTTACGCAAATTACTTACGTAGGAGATTAAAATCGCTACGAGTTAATTTTTAATATTGATATAGCGTCCGTTCTTCCTTTTTTTTTTCTTTTTTACAATATCATTATTTAATTGAAAGTAATAACGCGTGCAACACCGGATGCAGCTTCCGTACAGCAAATTCCATTATATTATTTGAAACGCCGAAAATGAGATGCGTAATTTGTTAAGTCACAGAGCAAGAATTTTAGAGAAGAACAAAAATATATAACGTAAAATTTGTGACTTGCGCTAATTTTCTTCTTGCAACGCCGTGGTAGATTTTTTGCAGAAGTATTATTTTATTTTTACTCTTTTTTAAATCGGTTTTGTTATAGGTACACTGACAAAAATTATTCAATTAAATATCTATTTCAATACTGCCTAATCAATCATTTATCAATTATTCTTTAAAACAAATAAACATTTATTTAATAAATTATTAATATCAACTGTCAACTGTATTACGTTTAATAGCTCTTATAGCCTTCTTTGTTTACAATTATTAAATATTTATTTGTTTTGAAAAGGATTTTCTTACATTTAATAAATATTTTTCACATCAAATCAATATCATTAGTTTCAAATAAATCATTTATCTGGCAGTATTAAAATAAATATACTTGTTCGAATTCAATAAATTTTTTTCAGTGTAGTGTTTATGCGGCTCTTAAAAATTTCTGTCATTCTTAGCGTTCTCTTTATCTCATTTCTACATTTCTCCGTCAGTTTTACATTCGTACATTTACATTTTACATATCAAGCACACACTCGCTCGCTATTATGGCCCTGAAAACAAACTGTTCCTTAGCCATCGATTGCTTATTCTATCCGTTTACATCGTTACATATCACACTTGCAATGAAAAATAAAAGAATCATTGCGAATTTAGTTTTCACGAATTGCAATTTAGAGAGAGAATGGAAAGGAGTCGTTTTTAACACTACAACATTATTGCTCATTCCAATAGTATCATTATATATTTGTAAAAACGCTTCCTCGTTAACTGAAAAGTGACACAGCTTTCCTCTATTGAAAGTGCGATATTTTTCTCCGCGTCGTGTCTCTTCATAGAAGCTAATACTTTCAACTTACAGCCATCTGAACTCTCAAGGTAGTTTCTGCAGCGAGTTATTACTTTAATTACGAGATCTGCCAAGCTTTCGTGCTTCGTCAAATAAAAAACGTTTGATTTGCAAGCAACATCTGCGCGAACAAATATCCCGATTTCTCAAACACAATCCAGCTTTCGAATTTTCGTTCAGATCGCTTCGACGCGACAGAGGTTTCTCTCTGTGACTTAAATTTTACTTTATAGTTTGTACCTCGGCCCGACATTGTCTCGCCGCTCTGTGCATGTAGGCCTTATTTTCTCCTATCTAAGAATTCGAAAGTCTAATTAAAAGGGCAAAAAGTAAAATGCCGTGCTTTTCTTATCGCTTTACTACTGACAG